GTCTCAGGCGGGGCGCGGTTTTCAGCACCCCTAGGGGGCCGCCAGGGGTGTTTTGCACGGGCTCCGTATTTTTCGCGGCCATTTTTGATGGGGATGTCTAGGCCGGTTTGCTGAAGGATGTTTCTGGGCTCACATCCTTCGCTTGAGGCAATTGTGGAGGATGTCTCAGGCGGGGCGCTGGTTTTCAGCACCCTAAGGGAAGCCGCCAAGGGGTTTGCACGGGCTCGTTCGCTGCCATTTTGCGGGGATGTCTCAAGCGGTTTGCTGTTTCTGGGTCAACATCCTTCGCTTGGAGAGCAAGATGTCAGGATGTCTCAGGCGGGGTGGCTGTTTTCAGCACCCCTAAGGGGAGCCGCCAGGGGTGTTTGCACAGTTCGTTCGCGACCATTTTGTGGGGATGTCTCAGGCGGTTTGCTTGTTTCTGGGCTCAACATCCTTCGCTTGGAGAGCAGATTGTGAAGATGTCTCAGGCGGGGCGCTGGTCTCAGCACCCCTAAGGGGGGCCGCCAGGGGTGTTTGCACGGGCTCGTTCGCGGCCATTTTGTGTGGATGTCTCAGGCGGTTCGCTTGTTTCTGGGCTCAACATCCTTCGCTTGGAGAGCAGATTGTGAGGATGTCTCAGGCGGGGCGCTGGTCTCAGCACCCCTAAGGGGAGCCGCCAGGGGTGGTTGCAGAAAGGGAGCCGCAAGGGTGTTTGCACGGGCTCGTTCGCTGCCATTTTGGGGGATTCCCTACAAGCGTTTGCTTGTTTCTTGGCTGGTAAACATCCTCGCTTGGAGAGCAGATTGTCAGGAGTCTCAGCGGGGTGCTGGTTTCAGCACCCCTACGGGGACCCGCCCCCGAGGGGTGTTGCACGGCTCGTTCGCGGCCATTTTGTGGGGATGTCTCAAGCGGTTTGCTTGTTTCCGGGCCCAACATCCTTCGCTTGGAGAGCAGGTTGTGAGGATGTCTCAGGCGGGGCGCTGGTTTCAGCACCCCTAAGGGGAGCCGCCAAGGGTGGTTGCACGGGCTCGTTCGCGGCCATTTTGTGGGAATGTCTGAGGCGGTTTGCTTGTTTCTGGGCTCAACATCCTTCGCTTGGAGAGCAGATTGTGACGATGTCTCAAGCGCGGCGCTGGTTGCAGCACCCCTAAGGGGAGCCGCCTAGGGTGGTTGCACGGGCACGTTCGCGGCCATATTGTGGGGATGTTTCAGGCGGTTCGCTTGTTTCTGGGCTCAACAGGGAGTGAAATGACAGGAACGAGGATGAGGAGGAGGAACAAGAGGAGGAGGGGGAGGCGGGGGATCGCGAGGAAGGGCATGGGGGTGCGGAGGGGGAGGGGGAGCAGGAGGATAAGGAGGAGGAGCAGGAGCAGGAGAAGGGATGGGGGCGGAGGAACAGGAGGAGGAGGAGGAGGAGTGAGCTTTGCTCGAAGGTCCTTGGCGCGAGCAGAACGTTTGTTCCGAAGCCCAGGACATATTCTCATACGCACCTCTCCGAGGGAGTAGAGCTCAGAGGGGATTAATGCGTCCGTGCGTGCGTCCGTCTTTGATTTTTCTGGCCGTTTCGCTCGGGACATCCTCGAAATTCTGAAAATCGGTGGCACCCCTCACGCAGATCGTGAAGGAGAGGTCCAAAAACACATAGGATTTTCAACATTATAACATAAAACCATCAAAAACACATGGTAATTTCAATATTTTGACCCCGATTTTCAGAGACTGGCGGTTTCGCCTGAGACATCCTCCCAAAATCGAGCCCCAGACCCCTCCTCGGAGCCTCCTGGGGGCCTCCTGGAACCTCCTGGGGCCTCCTGGGGCTTTCTGGACCTTCTGGTACCCCAGACCCTGTCTCGGAGCCTCCTGGAGTTCTCCTGGGCCTGCTGAGGCCGCCTGGGGCCTCCTGGGGCCTCCTGGGGCTTCAGAACTACATGCACACACAGAGACACAAATCACGCCCAACACATCACACGCTAGACAAACATAACATACACACACAACACCGACAACACACAAAAAGCACGCACCACACAAAGCACACATCACACACACAACACTCACAATCCTGGGGCCTTCTGGAGCCTCTTCAGGTATCCAAGTCGGGCCTCCTGAGGCTTCCTGGGGGGCCCTGATACACACATCGCAAGGTGTGGCAACCCCACTTGCGCTCGAGTGCGACTTCGCTGTTGCATGTCACTCCTGCTTCAAACGCCCCTCCAGCTTGTTGTATGAGCCTGGGCACACACGTGCCACTTGTATATATGGTTTTTCTTCCAAGATCCCCTTGTAGGGGACATGCCCGACCTAACGATAGGTTAAATTCAGAGGAGGGCGAGCCGAGACACTGGACTCTGGGTGGGGCGCCCGCGTCGCCGCGGCTGGACGCAGCTCGGAAAGCTGGTGTGTGTTGGGCCCCGGGAGGAGTTCGGGGATCGATGTTGAGCGGCGGCTGCCTCAACTCTTGGAGACGACGATCAGTGGAGAGGAAGCGTGCTGCCGAACGATCCCCAGATGTCCAGAGCATGTTTCCAGCATGCCTCAAACATGTAATCAAATCATGCTGTGCACTTTCTAGAGCATGCTGAAAACATGTGGAATCCATGCCTTATTCCATGGCGGGGCTGCCTCTGGACAGCTCCTCCGACAGCGCGGCTGGCCAGCAGCTCGGGGAGGCGCCCTCGCTCCGCCCTGGGAGCGTGGGGCCGCTGCCCCGGCCGAGGGCCCGGGAGTGGTCCCCGGCCTCGCGCGGTGCCCTTCGGAGCAGGCAGGAGGCGGGCGAGTGCGAGGGAGGCGGCAGGTCGAGCGAGGCGGCAAGAAGAGGGAAGGACAGCGGAGGACCAGGGGGTCGTTCGCACACATTCGCACACACACACACACACATAACCGACCGCGGGCGATAGTAAAGAACCCCCCCCTTTAACCCCCTCTATTTTTTGTATCTCCGACCACAGGTATCCATCTGTGGGGAAGGCGCGGGGTCCGAACTTTCTAATCCACGGGAAAGTTGCGGGGATCGAAGTTGCTGTCATATCATGTTGATCGCACACCTTTTTGTTGATCGTTGCAGGGCTGGGCCCGGCCGCGAGCCTCTCGGCGGCAGCCCGCTGCCCCCGCGTCCCCAAACCAGCAACTGCCCGGCACGTTTCTCGATTGGGATTTCCCCCGAACTTGAAGTGAAAATTGAGGTTGCCAGGGTCGCGGGCGACGCTCGTCGTCATCGTCGTCGTCGTCCTCCTCGTCCTCGTCCTCGTCCACGTGTCGTCATCGTCGTCCTCGTTGTCGTCCCCGGCGTCCTCGTCATCCTCGTCGTCGTCCTCGTCGTCGTCCTCGTCCTCGGCCTCGTCGTCCTCGCTGTCGTCCCCGTCGTTCTTGTCGTCGTCGTCCTCGTCGTCGTCCTCGTCGTCGTCCTCGTCGTCCTCGTCATCTTCGTCGTTGTCGTCCTCGTCGTCCTCGTCGCCCTCGCTGTCGTCCCTGTCGTCCTCGTCATCCTCGCCGTCGTCCTCGTTGTTGTCGTCCCCGTCGTCCTCGTCATTCTCCTCGTCGACGTCGTCGTCGTCCTCGACCTCGTCTTCACGATCTCTCCCTCCAAGAGCTGCCCGCGGGCCCGCCGACGTGTCTGGACGATGCGCTGCGTGCAGCCCCCTGGAAGCCCCCCCTTCAATTGTCGCCCTTGTTGTTGACTCGGGCAAGTCCCTCTACAGGAGGACGATTCAAAATTGGCCAAACATACTTTGGTGACGTTTTTTGTTTCTGGCCTATTTGGGGGATTTGTTGGTAATGTTAAAATTCGTTTTTCCAAAATCCGCCTTCAGCAGGACGTGCACGACCTCACCTGGTTGTTGCCCGAAAGGTCTGCCCGAATCGCAGGTCGTCCGAAGGCGAGCCGGCTCTCACCAGAGAGCCCGACGGTTCGGGCTGAGACTTCGGGCAGGGATCCGAGCAGCACTTCGGGCACCAGTTCGGGCGGCACTTCGTGTGTGTGTGTGTGAAGACCGCCCATCTCCCCATTCTACCCATCTTTCCTGCTATCCTCTCGGCTCAGGTACTGGCCAGCTTGAGCGCCCTCTGTCCGACGGGCGCGAGGATAAAAGACTCTCATCTTTCTCCTTCTCGTCCTCTACCTACGCACCAGTTCGAGCGCCACTTCGGGCGCGTTCGGGCGCCATCCCATCGGGGCCCCTGCAATCCGCAATCCCGTCTTGGTCGTCGTCGTCGTCGTCGTCCTCGCCGCCGGGTCGTCGTCGCCGTCGCGGCCCCCGCCGTCGCCGCCGTCGTCATCGTCCTCGTCGCCGTCGCCGTCGTCCTCGTCCCCGCACTCGTCCTGGGGGGTTCGCCGTCGCAGTCGTCACATTCGTCGTTGTTGTCTGTGCCATCCAGGTGGGCGTCGGTGCCGTGCTCCACGGACGCTGCTGGCCCGTTGCGCGCGGCATTTGGCGGACGTTGAGGCAGCATTCGGCAGGAGTTTGGGGCAACAATCGGAGGGACTTCGGGGCAGGGTCGGTCTGACGTCCCTGATGGGAGAGTGATGCGCTGTGGGAACAGGAAAGCAGCAGCAGCGTTCGGAACTCGCACGATGCAGCAACGGCCGGCCGAAGCTGGCCAGAATTGGAACGACACACACACACTCTCACGTACGAACTATGGTGGGGGCGTTGGTTAAGGAATGTGCCTACGAGGCTTCCGACCCTGGAGGAGTCTGGAATCCATGGCCGAGCCGCGATCGAAGTCCCACGCTGGGTTTCTTGTCTCTGGAGGGGAACAAACAGACACAATGACTCGTCGATCCCCCGGAAAATATTGAAGAAATATGGGAAGTGGAAGGGAAGACGAAAATACATAACATATTTGGAAATATGTGGAATCCTGCGATTTGCGTCTATGTTACCATGTGTGTATGTCTCAGTGCCCTTTTATCAATGCTTCCTTCTCTAATGCCCCAACCGTGTCTCAGAGAGCTGGGTCGTCGAGGCCAGGTGGCCCCGCAGGGGGGGCGGCGGATCCTGCGCATCCACTGCAAGAACATGAAGCTGGCCCCCGACGTGAAGCTCGAGGACGTCGCCTCCAACACACACGGCTTCGTCGGCGCGGACCTCGCGCAGCTGTGCACGGAGTCGGCCCTGCAGTGCATCCGCGAGAAGATGGACCTCATCGACCTCGACGAGGAGACGATCGACGCGGAGATCCTGGACTCCATCCGAAGAACAGAAAACGGCATAAACAGAAATGTTTGCCGCTCCGCGCGGACTTCTTGGATCCGCGCTGGGGGGCCCCTGGCGGCGCCCCCGGCGCCGCCCCTAGCGCGCTCCGCGCCCCAGGGAGGGGGGGGCCAGCGCAGGCTCAAGAAATCCGCGCGGACCGTCGAAAGTTTCTATGCATGCTGTTATTTCTTCTTCTGCCCATGGCGGTCACGCAGGAGCACTTCAAGATTGCGATGGGGGCGTGCAACCCGTCCTCCCTGCGCGAGACCGTGGTGGAGGTGCCCAACATCAAGTGGGACGACATCGGCGGCCTCGAGGACACCAAGCGGGCGCTGCAGGAGACGATCCTGTACCCGATCGACCACCCCGAGAAGTTCGAGAAGTTCGGCATGACGCCCTCCCGCGGCGTGCTGTTCTACGGCCCGCCAGGGTGCGGCAAGACGCTCCTCGCGAAGGCGGTGGCGAGCGAGTGCTCCGCCAACTTCGTGAGCATCAAGGGCCCAGAGCTGCTCACCATGTGGTTCTCGAAGAAGCGTCGGCATCAGCATGCAGGCTGTCGGAGGTCCGCGCGGGTCTCTTGGCTCGGCGCTGGAGCCCTCGAAGCGCGCCGGGGGCGGCACGCGCAGCGTTGCCAGGGGGGGGTCCAGCGCCGACCCCAGAAGTCCGCGCGGACCGCTTACGGCCATGGCACTGAAGTACGGGACACTCTAGTTTCGGAAGGGGCTCACTGCTCCTCAGGTGTAAGTCAGGCGATCCCTCTACAGGAGGCATCTTCAGACATAGTTGTAAACCACAGTCTGGGGACGATCTGTCCAGTATGGTTTGATCATGTTTGAGAATTTTGTGAGTGTTCTTATTTAATCGCTTCGCTCATGCCTCCGGCCCTGGAGCCCTCTTTAGGGCCTCTTATTGGGGGCCTCTTGGGGACCTCTTGGGAGTCTCTTGGGGCTCCTTGGCGGCGTTTTGGGGGCCCCCAGGGCCTCTTGGGGGGCTCTTGGTGGCCTCTTGGGGCGGGAGGGGGGGTAGTCGATTGCGGCTCCCCCCTCGGAGGCCACGATCCTCGTGAGGGGTGTCGAAAAATGGCCCTCCCCTGGAGTGCTCTGGTGGCTTCTCCCGGGACCTTGTCGGGGTACTTTTCGTCCGGGGGCCCCCAGGGGCCGCTCCGCGCGCGCGAACTAGAACTATTGTTGACCAGTTACCGGAGATCGTAGCACGCCTCTGGCCCGTTGGGCCGGCGAATTGTTTCCGTCCAAAATCTTCGGACATAGTTTTGAACCATAGTCTGGGGACGATTTGTCCAGTATGGTTTGATCATGTTTGGGCATTTTGTGCATGTTTTCATGCGTTCGTCCAAAATCCACCGACCTAGCCTTAGATTCGTAGTTCTTCCTCCGACGCCCCTCGCGGACCCCTAGGGGCCACGCAGGGGCATCGTTCTCTGTCCTGCGGCCCTGTGGCAGCAGCTTGGCTGTATGCTGGCGCTGGCCACAAGCTTCGGCCGATTCGACGCGGACTGAAACGCTGCGGTCGGACGCGCGCATCTTTTTCGGCGGGGACCCTCGAGGAGCACCCTGGATCATCGATTGAGTGGGTCCCCGGAGATCCTCCGCGCTGAAGAAATCCGGACGAAGGTGTTCACAGTCTTCGGCCTCTAGGGGCCCTCGCCAGGCTCTGGGACCTCTCAAAAAAAGGATTCGGGATGCAAAGCGGGTCTTGGGGAATGGGTCGAGGTTTCCGGGGTCCCCGTATTGAAAAAAAACACGACGTCGGATCTCTGGGCCTGGGGGTCAGGCCGCGGTCTGCAGAACACCCCGAACGGACGTCAAAGGGGGGCAACCAACCTGTTCGGTCCAGCTGAAATTGATGCACCACGTCTGGCGTCAGACCAAAACTTTGGACAGAAGCGAGCGGTTGGATGCTGTACATCTTTGTCTGCTTGACCGGCGAGGCGTTTGACCACCTTGACGTCCCTTTTTTGGGTGGCCTTGCAGAGGAAGCGGCTCTCTGACCCTCGGCCCGATCGAGCCCAAAAAGCACGCACGAGGCCGAAAAACGCACGGGGAATGGACGTCCGAGCGATGGCGAGACTCCGCCGATTCGTGCTGCTGCATCATTGTTGCTACCTGTTTGTGTGCTCGTGGCAAGCGAGGAGGAGGAAGAGGAGGAGGAGGAGGAGGAGGAGGAGGGGGAGGAGGCGCAGGAGGGGGTCATGCCGTTGGAGTGTTTGTGTCGTTCCAGGTGTCGGCGTGAAGAAGAAAGGACTCTTCGGGACGATGGCGAGTTGAAGAAAAGCCCACGTCGAGGAGTGATGTCCTTGCGCATGTCTGTGCCGCTTGTTTCTCTCCTTCCAGACTCGTCGAGTCCGAGGCTGATGTAAGAACGTTGCAGTTCGGGTAAGTCGGGCGTGTCCCTCCACAGGAGGAACATTCAATAATAGTAGGCACATAGTATGTGGGCGATGTATCATGCGCTTTCGACTATGTTTGATTGCTGTTTGACTACTTTTAGCTCTCTTCCAAAATGTGCCCGTGGAAGGACTTGCCCGACCGAACAGTTCGGGTTTGGAAGGGGCTCGCTGTTCCTTGAGTCCTTCTGTGGTTGTTCTCCTCCTCCTCCTCCTCTTCCTCCTCCTTGTCTCCTCCTCCTCTTCCGCCTCCTCCTCCTCCTCCTTCTCCTCCTCCTCCACCTCCTCCGCCTCCTCCGCCTCCTCCTCCTCCTCCTCCTCCTCGCAAACAGCTTCGCTCCTGACGGTCGGGAACTTTGGCTCAGCGCGTCGCTCCGCCGGCTCTGGCAAACCGGGCTTCGGCGCGACGGCCCTCCCCCAGCGTCAGCGTCCCGAGGTTTGTCGAGCCCTCCGCCCGGCGGAGCGGAGCGCCATGCTATGCGCGTGCATGGCACGGCTTGTCGCCGGGGCCGCCGCCGCGACACGCAGCAGCTCGATCGCATGTCCATGCCGCTTTTTGTTGCCGAGATCGGACGTTGCCAACAAAATACAGCATCGCACGGCATTCACGACCCGAGCCACAGACCCCGTCTCTTTGCTGCAGTCTTTGAGCCGGATCGACCTTTATGACAGCCCTGGGGCCCGAAATCGGGTGAAGGCGCCCTGGGCGAAAAAGTTGCAGCGCCCTGACTCAGGGCATTCGGTGTTCTTCATCGCATCAACTTGGCCGCATGCCTGTGCCACGATTTGGGGAGTTCCAAAAACGGCCTTGCCTTCAAGGATTGAAGGAGCTGTCATTTCTTCCGCCGCGGAAGGCGGTGGAAGGCCGGCGGAAGTAACACGAGGCCGCCTCCGCCGGCGGACGCCGGCGGAATGGCGGCGGAAGGCGGCGGACGTAAAAGATGCGTCCCCAAGAGACGAAAGCGTTTTGGGGTTCAGGGGTTCCGCAATCGCCCACTCGCGGCCCCAGGTTCGGCGAGTCCGAGGCCAACGTCCGCGAGGTCTTCGACAAGGCCCGCGCGGCGGCGCCCTGCGTGCTCTTCTTCGACGAGCTGGACTCCATCGGCACGGCGCGCGGCAGCGGCGGCGGCGACGCTGGGGGCGCCGGGGACCGCGTGATGAACCAGCTGCTGACCGAGATCGACGGCGCCTCGGGAAGCCAAGACTCGGCGGCGCCCCCCCGGGGGGGGGGGGAGGGAGAGGATCGGGCCGCACGAAAGGGCCTCCTCCTCCTCCTTATCCTCCTCCTCCTCCACCCTCCTCCTCCTCCACCCTCCTCCTCCTCCTCCTCCGCCTCCTCCTCCTCCTCATCATCATCCCTCCTCCCTCGAGGATCGGGCCGCACGAAAGGGCCTCCTCCTCCTCCTCCTTATCCTCCTCCTCCTCCACCCTCCTCCTCCTCCCCACCCTCCTCCTCCTCCTCCTCCGCCTCCTCCTCCTCCTCATCATCATCCCTCCTCCTCCTCCTCCTCCTCCTCCTTCTCCTCCTCCTCCGTCCCCCCTCCTCTTCCTCCTCATCCCTCCCTCCTCTTCCCTCCTCCTCCCTCCTCCTCCCTCCTCCCTCCTCCCTCCTCGTCCCTCCTCCTAGGGAAATGGGAGGATTGCGAGATCTGCCGCATGCAGCTGGTTTTCGCCCCGCCGCCGGGCCCATTCCTCGATGCAGGGGCGCCGCCCCGCGCCGGGAGGCTACTCTACCCTTTTGCTCTCTTAGCCTTAAGTCGGGCGTGTCCTTCTACAGGAGGAGTATTCAAAAATAGTAGAACATCGTCTGGGGACGTTTTTTTTTCAGCATTTTGGGATTATGTTTAAGCATGTGTTGGTTATGATTTGCTTCCCCTCCAAAATCCGCCTGTAGGGGGACATGCCCGACCTAATCTTAGCCTCTCGTCCCCCCCCGACCCCGGGAGGAGGCAGGCCTTCGCCTTCGGAAAAGCTGTTGCTGCCTCTCCAGGGAATGGCCTCAGAAGGCTGCTCGCGGGAGGCCCGAGGCCTTCCGATCCTTCTGAGCAGGCCCGCCCCCTTCTCTGACGCCCCCTCCGGGCTGGCCGCCGAATTTTGCCGGAGCCTCGGATCTGCGGGGGGGGTAGATGCTTCATGCCCCGAGGGGGCGTATTGGGCTGGACGACGACGACGACGACGACAAGCCGACATGCCCGCGTCGAACGTGAGCTGCTGTCGCCCTCTCCGGGGCCTGTCCAGGGAGCTCCCCGCCGCCGCGGCCTCCGCCTCGAGGTTCTGGCCAGGGCGCTTCCCGGCAAAGGTCTGGGGGCCGATGCTTAGCACCCTCGGGAGAGGCTAAGTCCATCACCGAGCGAGTTCCACTACTCGCGAAGTGCCTACTCGCAAATGTTCGAAGAACACATGTTCGCCTTGATGTAATGGATCGTAGATCCCCGCGGCGTACCCAGGCCAGTTACGAGCAAGTACTTTGCGAGTAGTGGAACGCGCTTGTCTAGTCCATGCGGAATAAATCCACATGGAGTTCTCGGTCTCCGTCTGCCGTAGGCTTCCTCTGTCTTGGCCCAGCCTCTCCCGACACTTCCCAGACGTGGTAGCGTCGTGGCAACGATCACGACGGGAGGTTTTTTCCAGGTTTCGGCCTCCAGAGGCCTTCGCGGGGCCCAGGGACCTTCGCAAACCGACTCGGGATGAAAAGCCGGCCCTGGGGAAAGGGTTGGGGCTTCCAGTGAGCCCGTATTGAGAGAATCACGGCTCCGCATTTCCCGGTGCTCAGAGGAGGAGCAGGCACCGATGACGCCGCTTGTCCTGGAGAGCCCTCGTCGCCACGGCCGGACTCGCCTCGAGTCGAAGTCCTAGTCAGGGCACAGTGTGGGAGGGGTCCGTGGATCACCGAGCGCGGCCCACGACTCGCAGAGTGCCTACCCGCAAGCGTCCGAACCATAGCTGTTCACCTCGACGTAACATGCCGCAAATCCCCCGCGGCGGGTCCAGGCCATCAGCGAGCAGTTGCCCTTGCGAGTGGTGGAGTGCGCTTGTCGTGTGGCGTGGCGGCAGCGTCGGCCACGCGCGAGGGCGGGGCCCTTCGCTGGAGTGCCGCCTGGTGCGGGGCAGTACGCTGGGGGCTCGGCCCGCGGCGTGCACCCCTGCGGCCGCGCCCCAGGGGTCACGCTTGCGCAGGGCCACACTCTGCCCGCACGGACAACCCGTAGAATCCAAGTCGGGCCTGTGCTTCCACAGGAGGAGTACGCAAGAATAGCCACAGAGTGATGTGGGGACTGCGTTTCTGTATTCTCCAAATAGGCTTGCCCTAGAGGAGTCCTAGCTCATCATAAGTAATTGGTCTTTGGCGCCCTCCCCCCTTTTCCAATGGCCCCCCCCCTTTTTCCAATGGCGTTTGCTCGCTTGCTCTTGCATGCTTGCTCTTGCATGCTTGCTCTCGCTTGCTTGCTCCTGCGTGCCCTTGCTTGCCTGCACTTGATCGCTGGCTCTTGCTTGCTTGTTGTTGCTCGCTTGCGCTTGCTGGCTTCCGCCTGTTTGCCTGCGCTTGCTTGATTTTGCTCCTCCCATTCTCCTCCCGTCCTCCGTTCGTCATCCTCCCATCCTCCTCTCGCCCTCCTCCTCTCCTCCTATCTATTTGGAGTCAACGCTGGCTGATATGTTTTGACTGTTTTTAACATGTTTGACTATTTAAACATTTTCCTCGAACATCCCCCTGTAGGGGGACACGCCCGACTTAACCGTATAATTAGGGTGCGCGATAAGGATGCAAGGGCCCTGGAAGGCCATGTCGACACTCTGCGAGCGGGGCGCGCGGCCAGCGAAAGCGGCCAAGGATGGGCTGAAGGGGAAGGGCGCAGGGGTCATGTGGGAAAGTCGCTCATCTTTCCTATGCGGGTTGACTGTAGGGTCACTCTTGCGTGTAGCCGACATCGGCAGACGTTCTTTCCCCAGGCGGGGGCGCAGGAACCTTCGGAGGCCGCCGCGAGAAACCTCTTCTCGCTCCAGCGCTCCCCCACCCCCGACCCCACGGCCCCTGCCCTGGCTCGGCGGCGAGCGAGGGGGCGAAGTGAGAAGGAGAAGGCCTTCTGAGAGGTGTCCGAAGCCTCCCTCGAAGACAGGAACAGCTTTCTCAAAGAAGCCGCGAGAGAGCTTCTGAGAAGTCCCGCCGCCTTCTGAGAATCAAAGGCGTAAGAAACGCCCCTACCCTGCTTTACGAGGCGCTGTGTGCTGAGCCCTCTATTGGCTGACAGGGTAAACCCTGCGCATCGCGCGTGTCGCGTGGCGTCCTGGCGGCCCTCTGGCCCTTGGGAGCTCCCAGGAGGCTTGCAGACCACGCACGTGTAACCCAGGGTAGGGGCGTTTTTTATCCCTCGAGTGAGGGAGGGGGGAGTGAGAAGGAGAAGGCTTTCTGAGAGGGAGCGTCGAAAACAGAAACAGCTTTCTCAAAGAAGGCGCGAGAGCTTCTGAGAAGTCCCGCCGCCTTCTGAGAAGGCCTTCTCCTCCTCGTCCCCCCCCTCAAGAGAATGCCTTCTCCTCCTCGTTTCCCCCCTCGTCTCCTCTGGCGTTTTTTTATCCCTCAAGAGAAGGCCTTCTCCTCCTCGTCCCCCCCCCCTCGCTCGCCGCCGACCGGCGCGCGCCCGGGAAGTGCGCCCAGGGCGGCGCCGCGCGGGGCGAGGAGACAGAGGGGGCCCAGGTGAGCGCTTCTGTCACTCCTTGTTCTGCCGATCGGCGCGGGCCTCCTCCTCCTCCTCCTCCTTCCTCCTCCTCCTCCTCCCTCCTCCTCCTCCTCTCCTCCTTCTCCTCCTCTCCTCTTCCTCCTCCTCCTCCTATCGCACCCCCCTTCCCCCCCCCCCCCCCGTGGGGTAGATCTTGGCTGCTTTGGGCGCCTCTGTCGAGCGGGTGGAGTCTCCCCCATCGTGGGCGCACTGTTCCATCACAGCCGCACTGAAGCAGAGGTCTGGAGCCAGACCCCCCACCCCTTCCCCTTGCCGCCCAATGTCGACACGCCGAATAAAAAAAGCGCTCACCGGCGCCGACCCGAGAAATCTGCGCAGACCTCCGCGGGTGGCTGCGGCTCTGGCTGGCTTCTGGCATTCCATCACGTCGCCCACTCCTTGTTTTTTTCGGCAGGGACCATCGAGGAGCATGCTGTAAATATTGCGAGAAAAACACATACACGAAACCGCAAAAATACAGGGAATGGACGTCTGAGCGATGGCGAGACTCCGCCGATTCAGGCTGCTTCATTATTGCTACCTGTTCGTGTGCTCGTGGCGAGGGAGGAGGAGGAGGAGGAGGAGGAGGAGGAGGAGGAGGAGGAGCAGGAGGAGCAGGAGGAGGAGGGGGAGGAGGACCAAGCTAGGTGCGCTCGCGTCATATCTGACGTTCTACTCCCTCCCAGCCCTTACCATGGCGTAGATCTCTTCTCTATTCGCACAAGTGGATGTCGTAGCATGGCATAGCATTACATGGCATAGCATGGTGTTGAAGATCAACGCGTAGCATGGCATAGCATAGCGTGGCGACTCCCCAAAATGGGCGGGCTTCTGCGACCCCAAAAATAAACGAATCGCCACCAAATGTACAATCACTTCCGATGGTTTGTTCGGGATGTCATGTTCTAGATGTTGGGGCCCGTTTGGGAGGACCGAAAGAAACCATGCCGTGGCATGGCACTGGAAATTATGACGCCAGCGCTGCAGCGGGAGCACGATTCGGAACGAGCGGAGGCGCGGAAATGAGGCCAGCGCAGCAGCGGGAACACGATTCGGAGGACGCGGAGCTTGCCATAGCATTGCGTGGCGACGCCCCAAATTTGGGGGGGGGGCTTCTGCGATCCAAAAAATCAACGAATCGGCACCGAATGTATAATCACTTCCGATGGTTTTTTCGGGGGACCATTTTCTAGATTTTGGAGCTTCTTTAGTAGAAAGGACCGAAAACCATGCCGTGGCATGGCTCTGGAAACAACGACGCCAGCGCTGCAGCGGGAGCACGATTCGGAACGAGCGGAAGCGCGCAAATGAGGCCAGCGTTGCAGCGGGAGCACGATTCGGAACGAGCGGAAACGCGAAAATGAAGTCAGCGCCTTAGCGAGAGCAGCATTCTGGAAAAACACACAAGAGAATGCCCGTTTCTGGGAAATCCTGTGTTGAAAAAACAAGTACGCGAAGGGTGGCCGACTATTTCCCGGACGTCACCAGGGGAGAGAGGCGAGTAGGATTCATGTTGTGTAATTGTGGAGGGGTAGGGGAGGAGGAGCAGGAGGGGGTCATGACATGCCGTCGGATTGTTTGTATCGCTCCAGGTGTCGGCGTGAAGAAGAACGTCTTCTTCATCGGCGCCACGAACAGGCCCGAGCTGTTGGACGAGGCGCTGCTCCGCCCCGGGCGCTTGGACCAGCTGATCTACATCCCGCTGCCAGATCTGCCCGCGCGCCAGAACATCCTCGAGGCCACCCTCTCCTCCTCCTCCTCCTCCTGCTCCTCCTCCTCCTCCTGCTCCTCCTCCTTCTCCTCCACCGTCCCCCCTTCCGTCGGAGCAGGAGTCGAAAAAGAACGTACCCCATCAAAGCAACCCGCTTATTAGCAGGACACACGAAGATCAGCCATGCGCAGAAGTGGATATTAGGGGGAGGGGGGGAGGAAGGCTTCCTGGAAGCCCCCTCTGCTTCTTAGACGGCGCGGACCTTGTCTAGAGATGCAATGCCGGCGCCTTCTAGTACAGTCGGGCCGCTAAAGAAGAACCCTTTTCGTTGGGGCGGGGCTCCGTGTTCCTTAATTGTTGCGCAGTTGTTCTTAGGCGTTCCTTAGGTTTCCCATGGTAAGGCGAAGTGCACCGTATGGAAAAAGGGGGCCTCGCTCCTCATTGATTGGGCTCCTCAGAACAGGGTGTCGACTGTGAGCAGCATCCTTCTGCGAAGCCTTCCCTCGTAGACGCGCTAATGGTGTGTTAGCTAACGGCGATGTAGGAAAACCAATTGTAGGAAAGCGCGGCTCGTGGCCAAACCACTTGTAGGAACGCGTGGCTCGCGTTTTCCTACAACTCGCTGCGTCGTTCTCGCTCGAGACGTTCGCACATTTGAGAGGTAGGGAACGGCGTCTCGTGATTTCCTACGCGTTGTTCTTCGTGAGCTCGGTGCCACGAAACTCAGACTCCCCAGCCGCACTGGTAGCTCAGCGCGCCGTTAGCGCGGCCTCGGCTCCCCCCCGCATCGCCCCCCCCCCTTGGTGCGCGCCGCCGAGGCGGAGGCGGGTCGAGGGGCAGGATGGTCGGCGACAGGGGGGCCCGTCAGGTCAGAGCCCGGCCGCGTGGCACCTCGGTGTGCCGCTGGGCCGAGGTATGGAGGAGGTAAGACTGCACCAGAGAGAGGCCCCCATCAGTGGACGGTCTGACATGGGATCGATAAGGAGATCGATGGCGAGGTCGACCGGGAATCCGGGGACCCGGAACCCACGGAAACCGGCCCGGAAGCAATAACCAGGAACCCGGGAACCCAGAACCGGGAACCCGGGAACCCAGCTGGACACCAAAAATCGGCGGGACATGCTCGCCGCGAGGACCCCTTCAGTGCAAGTACTGATTGGGGAATAAGAAAAACATGGCAAACAAACAAAACAAAACTGAAGTTATGAGATTGAGATCGTATCCTCGTGATCTTGGTGCCTTTGGATGCTCTTGCGCACCCAGGGGAGGCGAGGTCAGTTCGGGGAGGTTAGCACTATCCTTGTGTTCGTCGTGCTTTCGGATGCTCTTGCGCACCCTGGGGAGGATGCCCTGAGCTGCGCTGTGTGTTCTGGCTGGCAGAGGGTCTCATGTTCTTGAGGGTGTTCTTCTGGCCTGGGGACGCATGTATTTTGTGCCAGGGATCGTGGCCGTTTGGACCAAACATGTAGCCGACAGGTGGGGAAGGACCACGAGTCCTACATACAGTCGGGCCGAAATATAAGATCGAGGTCGGTTCGGGGAGGGCACCCTGGTGATCTTCGTGCCTGTTGGATGCTCTTGCGCACCCTGGGGGGGATGCCCCGGGCTGAGCTGTGTGTTTTGGCCTGCGGAGGGTCTTGTGTTCTTGAAGCATATTATTCTGGCCTAGGTCCGACCATATTTTGTGCCAGGGATCGTGGCCGACTGGATCAAAAGTGTAGCCGGCAGTTGGGGCGGGAGCACGAGTCCTGCATACAGTCGGACCGAGGTATAAGATCGAGGACGGTTCGGGGAGGCACCTTAGTGTTCTTCGTGTTTGTTGGGTGTTCTTGCGTATCCTGGGGAGGATACCCTTGGCTGTGCTGCGTGTTTTGGCCGGCGGAGGGTCTCATGTTCTTGAGGGATGTTCTTCTGGCCTGGGAACGCATGTATTTTGTGCCAGGGATCGTGGCCGTCTGGACCAAAAATGTAGCCGGCATTCGGGGCCGGAGCACGATTCCTGCAGTTTGTCGCACTGAGTAAAAGATCGAGGACGGTTCGGGGAGGGTGCCCTATTGTTTGTCGTGTCCTTTGGATGCTCTTGCGCACCCAGGGAAGAGTACCCTTGGCTGTGCGGTGTGTTTGGGCCAGCGGAGGGACTCACGTTCTTGGGATGTTTTTTTGGTCTAGGCCCCACTGTAATTTGTGCCAGGGATCGTGGCCGTCTGGACCAAACATGTCGCCGGCACTTGGGGAGGGAGCACGAGTCCTGCATATTGCCGGACCGAGGTATAAGATCGAGGACGGATCGGGGAGGATACCTTGGTGTTCTTCACACTTGTTGGGTGCTCTTGCCCATCCTGGGGAGGTTGCCCTTGGATGTTCTCTGTGTTTTCGCTGCGGAGGGTCTCGTGTTCTTGAAGTATGCTCTTCTGGCCTAGGTCCGACGATAATTTATGCCAGGGATCGTGGCCGTCTGGACTAAACATGTAACCAGCATTTGGGGCGGGACCACGAGTCCTGCATACAGTTGGATCGAGGTGTAAGATCGCGGACGGTTCGGGGAGGGTACCCTAGTGTTCTTCGTGCTTGTTGGGTGTTCGTGCCCATCATGGGGAGAACGCCCTTGGATGTTCTCTATGTGTTTTGGCCGGCGGAGGGTCTCCTTTTCTGGAGGGATGTTCTTCTGGCCTAGGTCCGACGGTAAATTTGTGCCAAGGATCGTGGCAGTCTGGACATAAATTGTAGCCAGCATTTGGGGCGGGAGCACGAATCCTGCATACTGTCGCACCGAGGTATAAGATCTAGGACGGTTCGGGGAGGGTGCCCTAGTGTTCTTCGTGCTTGTTGGGTGTTCTTGCCCATCCTGAGGAGGACGCCCTTGGACGTTCTCTGTGTGTTTGGACCGGCGGAGGGTCTCCTGATCTGGAGTGATGTTTTTTTTGGTCTAGTCCCGACGGTAATTTGTGCCAGGGATCGTGGCCGTCTGGACTTTTTGGGCGGGAGCTCGGGTCCAGCATACAGTCGGACCGAGGTATAAGGTCGAGGACGGTTCGGGGAGGGTGCCTTGGTGTTCTTCGTGCTTGTTGGGCGTTCTTGCCCATCCTGGGGAGGATGCCCTTGGGTGTTCTCTGTGTATTTTGGCTGGCGGAGGGTCTCATTTCTGGAGGGATGTTTGTTTGGCCCAGGTCCGACGGTAATTTGTGCCAGGGATCGTGGCCGTTTGGAGCAAACATGTCGCCGGCATTTGGCGCGGGAGCACGATTCCCGCATACATTGCGAGCAAGGCTCAGGCAAAACGGCCGCTGGACCCGCTGCCAGACCAGGCGGTGTCTACGGCTCCCCGTCACCCTTGTGGGGCTCTTCTGTGCTTCTGTTTAGAAGCCTCTAGCAAACCGCTATTACAGTGGGGGCGCACACGGAGAAACCATCTGCTATTCGTCAGCGTATCCTTGGTTTCTTCGCTCCGCGCGCTGCGTGGTGACTTCCAGCATCCGTTGAAGAAACTGCTGCGTTCAGGGTGCTCTGGGTTTCCCCTCAGGTGCACCTCGCGCGCACGTTTTCGGGGTCGGGTTTCTTGCGAGGGTGTCTTGCGGCCGCGCCCGCACTGAATGGCAAAGTTGTGTGAGCACTAACGTTCGTAGCTCCGCGCAGATTTCTCTGATCGGCGCTTTTATCCCCCCAGGGGCGCTCGCGGCGCCGCCCCGCGCAGGTCCAAGAAATCCGCGCGGACCTTCAAATGTTTATGTCTATGCCCTATTCTGGTTCCGCTAGGGGAGGAGCAAGAGGTCATGAGAACGGTACGCTCCATGATGTCCAGAGTCTCCTATCATGTTTCGCACAGGCTGCCGAATCGAGGGCCGCAAGGTCCTCTGGAGATCCTGGAGCGTATGCTGAGCCAGTCGCATCACAGGACACCACTCTCGCCCTATAGTCAAGAGTCAAGACGCTGAACTAAGGACCGCTTTGGGTTTGAATGGGGCTCACTGTTCCTTGGGTCACTCCGTAGTTGTTACTCTAGCCCTTCTCGGGCACCCAGGCGCTTCTGGTGCCAAACAGGGGCTTCGTTCCTTACATATCGCCTCTTTATCTCAGCAACCTGGCTGTATCCTGGGGCTTGGTTGAGACGGGCCTAGAATCGAGGTAAAGACGTTCCAGAGCGTTTCGAAACGCTCTCTGGGCGTTCCGGAACGCTCTGAAATGGCCGCGGCGCCGGATACATCGTCCAAACTTGCCGATCTTCTGATACTTCCGATTCGTGTCGGTCCGATGTCGTCTCGATGCTGTCATCGTCTTGTTGGGTAGAGCCCCCACCCTGCCGAGCCGGTTGGCGATTCCGCCTGTTGGGCCCTTTTTGTGTTCGGCGTCTCGAGAGGGTAGTGCCGCCGCCATTTCTTGCGGGCCAGCGCACGCGGTGGGTGTTGCCCAGGCCGTTCTCACAAGAGCGTGTTGTGCCCTTTGAGGTTCTGCCCCCCAACCCCACACCCTTTATGACGTTGCAGTGGAGACACATGCCAAGAAACACCCTGCTCGCCTCCAGGGTGCCCTGGGTTTCTTGGGTTTCGATCGTAGTGCGATGGAGAGCGAGACGCTCCCACACCACAAGACAATGGACGTCCTGGGGCCTCAGGGTCGGGTTCCTTGAGGAAGGTTTCTTGTGGACTGCCCCCCACAGTAGGCAACACATGAGGCGGGGCTTGTTGCATGAAGTGATGATGCAAAAGATTGCCGACTAAGGTGGGGTAGAAAAAAACATATTACACCTGGCTGGCGCAGCAGAAAAGGTCAGGCAGTGAGAACAGGCAAAGCAAGTGGGTCCTCGGGGCACAGAGTATGCGCCAGCTAGGCGGTGTGAGAGGAGGAACGACCGATCGAGGTAAATCTGAACAGCCTTACCGAGGGGAGGCACCGAACGAGAGAGAGAGAGAGACGAAATACGCGTGAAAGCCTGCAGGGATCCAGCATGGTGAAGTACAGCTGCGGGCTAAGTACTGACTACGGACTCCAGTGGCCTTGTAGCAGCAGTCATGGCGGAGGTCCCTCAGCCCCAACCTTCCACCCTCCCCCTTCTCTTCTTCCTTCTCCCCCATTCCTTTTCCTTCTACACACCTCATATGCCTCACCCGTTGGTCGAAAGGGCGGGCTGGGCGTTTCGCCTGAGACTTCCTCTCCACTCGCGATCC